TTAGGCCTAATTAATCTCAGAATGTTTTAAAGTGTTGCAATTGTAATGTATTTTAGTGTGTGATATGATGAAGCTGTTGACAAACTGTGATTGTTTTTTAGATTAATAAAAACTTTTTTTACTATCTGTTATTTTAGCGAAACTGATGATGGTGGAAAACACCGAAACGTATTTTAATTGATAAATAGACAATAAATGACTGAAGCCCAGGAATTGATTTTGATTTGGAATTGAAACACTGTCAGGAAAGTATGTACAATGAATAAATACAGACGAGCATATTTTAATCCAATGAAGGCATAAGTTCGATCCGTTTATGAGCTTAGGATTTATAATGAGGGTTGCATACAGGGTGCTGGCATCTGCCAGCACTTTTTAAGTTTTTGCGCGTATTTTTGCCCAATTAAATGGCCGTTTCAAATTGTATGTTCAATTAGGAAGAAAAACGGCTTCTTGATTTTTTTTTTGAGCGACTCCGTTTTTCATAAAAAAAATGAAAGTCGAAACGTGGCAGCATTCGAGTTGTTAAGTGGTGAGTTAAGAAACATAAGACACTAGATACTTTTGAACAAAAAATTAAAGGCAATTGACTTTTTGCAAAGTGAAAATGTGTCCAATTTTATGATCAATTAGGAAGGGGAAATCTCTCTTGGCATTTTTTTGTGTTGCACCGTTTTCGAGCAAAAATAAGTAAAAATGGAGTTATTGATGCGAGTTAACATATTTTTGTAAACCGGATATTTTTAGTTAAAAAATAGTTATAAGCCCCTAATTATTCTTAAATTAAAAATTAGTTTCCAATTTCATCATTAATTAGGAAGAGATAACGTCTCTTGATGTTTTTTGTGCGATGCGCCCTTTTGGAGTATAAAAATAAAAATCTGATAGTAGCAGAATTTTAGTTGCCAACTGCTCAAAACAGATGAAACTGGATAGTTTTACTTAAGAAAAGTGATAAATTCCTGATTAATACTTATTTTAAATTTTAATTCTATAAACTACCGTTGGATGGCAAATTATTTCGTACAAACTCTTCCTGTACAGGAATTTGTTTGTCAATAGTTGCATTAGAACATGACGTGAAAATCACTTATGCAGACGTCAAGCGGTGTGTTGTAGGTCTGAGTAACACTGTGTTGTGTTGCGCTATTGCGTTGTTGCCGCTCTCAGAGTTAACGAGTTATAAATCATCGGTTAATGAGTTACAACTCATTTATTAAAGCTTTCCGAGACCCGAGACTGGAATTTGCACTTCTTAAGAAAAGGTCATCAACATGTTTTCTGAGTAAAGTTTGACCACTTTGTTGAAGCAACTAAAAAAGGTCATCTAGATTTTTCCAGCAACAGAAGTGAGTCCAAAGAAAGTCGACGAGTTTTCTTGTAAAATCGATCTCATTTTTTGCATCAATTTTTTTGCAAAAAAGATTAATTTTGCCAGTAGTTTACAGTAAACCGTTAGGAAAAACCCGTTAGTGACAGTGTTGTTTAGAAATATTAACCTGAAAGTGAAGAAACCCCAGTTTCCAAGAGTTTTCCAAATAAATAATTATAAACTTTCACTTTTTAAGTTCGCCGAAATATTTTTGGAAAAAGACCCAGAATTAATCATTATGGTTTTGTCCATAATTCGAAGCTGCACAGTTTTCCAAAAATTTTTGCAAAGCGGTTAGACAGAGCAATACACAATAAAATTTATCTTGTAAATTTTCACAGAAAATACCTGAAGATTGCCAGTATTTTAAGTGAAACTAAAAAATAATGCGATTTTTGCGTAGAAAAAATTGCTTAATAGAAACTTTGCTAAAACTAGAATGACCTGAAAATGTAAATAAACTTTTAATATTTTCAGGCCGATGTGCCCGGCGAATTTTCCAAATAATTTTTTGTAAACTTTTGCTCCCTGACCGTTTTTCCAAGATAATCTTCATTACTTTCGGTAAAAAAACTGAATAAAATTATTTGATTTTTGTGCCAAATTCGAAGCTGAAAAGGGTTTTCTAAAGCTCCCTGCAAACCGATGAATGAGGCGAATTTTCTAGTAAAATTAATTCTGAAACTAATGTTTTTTTCGGGTTTTTAGGCCGTCGTTCGGTAGAATTT